ATCAAAATATATGAACATCCAAGTTATATTGAAAATACTTTCTGCTTAGAAGAGTTGAATTCCGTTATAAAATGAAAAACTATGATTATGACATACCTACATATTTAAAAATGTTATTACCTTGCAGCGCTGTGCTCAGACATGTCGTCGTGGCTCTAAGTACCTTTCCTGTCAATAGCAAGTAGATTTCAATTTATTGTTAAATAAACTGACGTTATGCAAGATTACCTTGGCTGTAGCTGTTCTCACAAAGCTTTGTTAGGCTACCACCTACAATTAATGAATAAAATGATCAGATTATATATAGCTAAAACTGAAACTGAAATGCTCTGATTATATATAAATAAAACTGAAAAATTTGAAAAGTATCCATTGCAACAGTAACCCTCCTTTATTCAGAGATTAAATTAGAGGTTAAGTAATCAAAGAAATTATTATATTGTATTGTGTAGTGATCATACCTTGGATGGAACTCGCTATGCAAGTCCTTGCTAAATTAATTACGCTCCTGGCTAGGAAATTCATGCTTAATGTAATAAATACACTTTTCCTACAGTAACTTAACCTCTGACCGAGTGTTGTTTAATCTATCTTTAACATACGGTGATTCGCTATCACCCTCTGGCGAGGAAGCAACTATCACGTGAGCAAAAGTGTACATAAAGTAGGAATTTTATTTACCGATTTCAGATACATATTATGTATATGTAATTTTTTATTTTCACTTCTCGTTTCTGATATTTAATTCCATCTTATTTTGTTATATAAAAATATATTCTTTAACTGAATATTTATTTTTCCATATTACATGCTTGGATTCAAAAACTTTTATTAAAGGATTTATTTTTATAAGACGTCAATTTGTCTGCCTGCGTGTCGGACTTTAACCATAACACATATCCAAAAATATTAGGCGTAAATAAAATATTAAAGGTCTAGTTTTTTTATGCAGGCGGAGCCCTTCACCCACCTGTTATGTACTGTCTAATAAACACATATAAACAAATTACTACAAAAACTTTGACCAAAAGATGCTTCATTGTTCGACAGAATTGATTAGTCAATCCTAGGATTGCCCACATGTTGGACTTTGACCATAACATATACGCAAAAATATTATTAGGCATAAATAAAAGATTATAAAGGTCTAGTCCAACTGTTAAAAGGCGCATTTCACCATTTGTGTTATTTTATTTCACAAACGATCAAATTCCCAGACAGCACGCATGTCCAAAAGCGAGACATAAGACGTTTAAAAAAACATCTTTTAAATGTTTTACGAAAAGATGGCTAAAAGATTGCTAAAAGACGGCTAAAAGACGTCTTATGTCCCGATTTTGGGCATGATATGCTGTCTGGGTTAGCTTATCATTATTAGAAAAGCAAAAGTTTAAGAAAAAGAAGGAGAAAAATACGAAAGTTTGATATTTATTGTTATTGACGAAAGGACACATTTAACATAATAGTCATATAGGTATGGAATTTTTCAGTCAAAACAATCCATTTCATTTTTTTTTAATTTCTTAATTTTAGTATCTTAATTTAGTATTAATTTTAGAGCGCATAATTAGTTCATAATTCCGTCAATTTTACGTGCTTTTTATTTTACAAGTTGATTGATTTAATTTCCGAGAGGCTCACAGTTCATTCTCATTGTAATGAGAGAAAGGGAAGAGGTAAAAAAGGCACTGCGGGTTACTAAAAAATATAAAGTTTATTTAAAAGTCGCACGATATAAACTTGAGGGAGCCAATGTTCAGGGTAGGGCCAAGGTTGATAGAAGAAACTGAAGAATCATCGACGTTCCACGACGTCGCGTGCGTCGGGTAATTGATCAGCCACGTCTTCACAATCCGTGGCCGTAACCGGCACCAATACCGGCACCAAGACCGGCACCGAGACCGGCGCCGAGACCGTGTCCTAGTCCTGCGCCGTATCCCAGACCAGCGCCGGCGCCGTAGCCGATTCCCGCACCGAGACCGCGGGCGCCGTATCCCGATCCGATACCGTAGGCTGGTCCTCCAACGGCTGCAACGCCGTGTCCGAGTCCTCCCAGACTCGCGCCACCGTATCCCAGACCGCCGGAGTAACCGATACGGTACAGAGGTGCGCTGGCGTATCCGTGGGACGCTACGGGCACGCTGTAGCCGTAGGCAGGTGCGGAAATGCCGTGACCCGAGGAGTAGGCCGGGGCAACGCCACCGAGATAACTCTGTCCGTAGCCTGAAATCGAAAGGGTGATCTCGCGGGTGATCTCTGACAGAGATGAAATTATTCGCGCAGATCGAGCATCGGAAACCGAGAGATACCTCCATAAGCCGGTCCCGCAATCAGAGCGTTTCCTAATCCTCCGTATCCTCCGTAACCCAGACCCAACACGCCCCTCTTCTCCTGTTTCTTCTCTACCTGTGTCTCCTCACAATAAATTGGCATTGCCAGGCCGACAATGGCTAATACAAGCTGTAACGAATTCAAACACTGTAGGACGCAAAGTTAAATACGCATTGTATTACACAGCTTTTATATTCTCTCACTATGTGGTCACGATTCCCTCCGGACGTAATCCGGAAAGAAAATATTTTCTTGTCCTCGGTTTTCAACCTCTTATTATATATCTTTTAAAAGATATAAAAGATATAATATTTAAAAATATGCGAGACATAATGTACATGTAAAAAACCGTTATACAATTTTGTCTACGATTCTGATGTCACACATCGTAGGGGAATTAACAAGCCGTATCAGAAATATCTTGCAATCAATTCTATCCGCGGGGCGCGTAATTAGAAACCGCCAATTACTTTTCCGAGGATATTCGGGTACGTCTATATATAAGGTAGATCGGTACGAAACCTCTTTCGCGGACGTAACGTGACTATTCCGGTTACTCGGGGGAAAACGTAAAATTACTCACTATAGCGTTCATGGTGGCGATAATGATGTGGCGATGCGGAGATCACTACTAAAACTGATGCGGACCTCACGAGACACACCCCCTTTTATACCGGTGGAGTCTTTTCTCACAGCATTGCATCTCACCGAGACGAATTACACGTGTGTATCTTACATCTATACACGATACCCCGCTCACTCACACACATACGCACGTAAATAGAGATGTAGGAGCAGTTAGCGGCGCAATAGTACCGCCGGCAAGAAGGTAGAGGTATACGCGTGGCTAATACGCCTTTCTAAAACGATTTTTCTAGCGCACTCGTCACGAAAATTCTTTGTTAGAACCGCGCGATCGACTTGCGTCGGTGGGAATTAAAAATCGACCGATCAATCCCCCGAAGAAGGATCAATGCCGTTAGTCTCGATGTGATGTTTGCACTAACGTATAACCCAAGAACGAGACGTAGAGTTATCAGATTTCTCATAGAATTTCTTTCGTTGGATTGAATTAGAAGAGTTGAGAATTACAAGTAAGACAAGATCGATCGGGCGATTTAATTATACTCAGTTTTCTAATTTCTTTTAATTCGTAGTACTGGATTCTTTCAGCAAAATAAAGTGGAAACTCGCATAAGTTGCATTTCGTGATTTTCTCCGCATTAAGAAACTTAATCTTGTCATTTTTTTCAACTGGAAACTTTCGGTGAGTTTAATGAATTTTTACCGCATTGAAGATAATTAATCTTGTCATTTTAAAACTTCGAGATTTCATAAATCTTGGGACTTTCAAAGCGATCACCTTGATCACTTTGAAGGCAAAGCCAAGGTCAAATTTCTTGCTTGGTCAAATCCTTTTACTCCATTATGGACAAAATGATATTTCAAAAGACCAAGGAGTTACTTAACGCAGAACTCGAAGCCGAACTCGATACAATTAAACCCCATATGAATGCGAAAGAGATATTACATGACATCGCCGACATAACTATTACTATAATATGTATCTCTGGCGTATCTATTACATACATGGTATATAGGTATGTACATTTTGTATAATTGTAATTTTCTCATTTTAAATATACATAACAATGTACGGTCCATTAGTCTTCATTTTGATCCATTGCTACGATATAGCAACGTGCTTTTTCTGATCATCTTAAATTTCATACATGGCGAAACTTTCACCGTCGCACGACTCTGCGACGACGGTTTTCGGTTGCAGCGTTACGCAAAAACGTGAAGTGGAGACATTTTTTCCGTCCAGTTCACCTCTTGCTGCAGTTCCTTTCTGTGGCAACCTATCGTATGTCACGTGATTGACGAAACAGGAAGAAGGGAGGGACGGGACGAGTAAAAAGAGTAATAAGGAATTTAGAACCGACCTTTGTTCTCAATTTAGAATCGACCTTTTTTGTCAGATTAAACAAAAAATTGTCGAGAGATGAAAATAATATGAATGATATATATTTCAATTATCTGCCTCTTTTAAGTCGTATAATTGTTCGAAATAAGTGACAAAAATTCCTTTTTGCGAGTAAATGGTAAAAAAAAAGGATTAATTGCTAAATAAACGGCGCCATACATCACTGTCCGCTGCAAGCGTTATCTTCCTGTTACTTCGACGGCACTTCGGATAATCGCCGTTTTACAAATGGTCTGCCATGAACTCGATTCGACAGCAGGCCGTTATTAAATTAGCAGAAAAATCCTCGTTAATCATCATGGGAAAGAGGGCAGGAGGTACACCCTCGAGCCTTCGAAAGGGCCATAAGTCCGGTAAGATCTTACGTCAGCGCGCACGATACCGCTCAGCGGGTTCGACGCACGTCATACAATAAAGCACGTCATATCGTTAATTTTCTACGGGGGGGAGGAGAAGGGAGAAAGTTTGTACCGCATCAAAGGTCGCATGTGAACGATTGTTGCGTAAGCTAAGCACTATGAGAGGGTTGCACCGACACACCCCGTTTGACCAACGCTGGCCAGGCGAGAAATCGCGGCCATTGCGTCGGCAAGAGTTGGTCGGATCTGCACACAATGTAGGTGCACTAGATGTAGGTGCTGATATTGCTAAAAGTTTTGAATATATCTCTTGTTATCTCTGTGCAACCATATCTGTTTTTTTTTTCTATATTATGTTCTTGAATTTATAACGCCGTTGACTGATTAATTCAATATCGCCTAAATGATGAAACATATTCTATTTTATACATACACCTCAACTGGAACCGGAGCAAGAATATTTCTTGCTAAAAAAGATTGTAGATATTTTCTGTATATCCATGACAAAAAATAATATTTTATTATTTATAAAAGGTCCGAAATGCCCGTATTCTTTTTATCTATAAATTTTGATCGATTTACAGTATTTTCTCAGTGATAGTTTGACGATTGCGTGTATCACATGATTCGCATATGAAAAGAGTGAACAGCGATTTCCTTAGCGAGTACGAATGTTAGAATCCAATATCAATAAAGATAAACTAAAATTTCTTTTAATAGTTACAAGATTCGAAGCAATGAAATGAAACGTACGGCCCGAACGGCTGTTTCAGACTCAGGGAAACAGTCGTTTGCAGATTCTTATTGCGAAATGCACTCGCGTAATACCGATCGCGCGAATGCCGATAATGCGAAAATATGTCGACGATACAATATAAACGCGATGGCTGATAGTATATCAATGCATCTTATTACTACTCGCAACGGTAGTGTAAAAATAGATTTAATTGTTGGATATAAAACGGCAATCAATGATCAGATCGTACAAAGTCCGGAATTTTTCATTCAGCAAAACCAACTGGGTGATTTGTTCATAGCAAGCGTGACTGACGTAATTTTCTGGTATTTATCAATAACATATATCTGCAACGCATTCATGTATTGTATAATGTGTATATACATACGTATACATATATTGCGTTACATTAATATTTATATATATTTACCAATTTTAAAATTATATTATATATATATTTCGAAAACATATTATAATATTATATTATATTTCATAATTAACTACATTTAATTATTAAATAAATATATTAAATATAATTACGTTGTAATTAGTAAAAATAATACAAAATAATAGATAAAATATGGTGATGCCATATACCGAAAGATTCGATATTATATTCTTATCTTATCGAGTAAAACACCAATAAAATTTGTCAATTGGAAGAACCTGTAACTAATTGTGTTAAAAATGTTATTTATAGAGTAATTAATTAATTTCTTATTATTACAATTACTATTTAAATATTATTTAGTTTACTATTTAATATAATATTGTGTAGATAAGATTTTGATTATTAGCGTTAGCAAAAAAATCTGTCGTAATAATTCTTTCGTAATTAAACACTTTTTAAATTTTCTAAAATAATAAGTAATAATTTAACAAATATAAGCGATTGATAATTGAAAAGAAAGATATTATATGACATTTATATCAAATGTTGATAACAAAACGATATAGAAATATTATGTAAGATTCATTTGTAGATGGCAGTAAAATGCTCCTGTGGTTGTTGGGTTAAGTTTATCACGTGTGTACATAACCTCTTTGATTGTTTTTGAACTATTATAGAGCACATTATATATTTTCTTAAATAGAATTTATCGATCAAATAAACATTAATTCTGTCGGTTTTCCAGTAATATCCTATCTGTGATTTATCGTCTTTTATTTTTATAATTAATTAAGTTTTTCTATACGGATAAATCATTTCATGAAGTACAAAATCTGTGCTAAGGATAAGAGGCTTTTTCCTCGGTAAGTTTAGTTTTCATTTAGTTTTCATAATTAGATTCATAATTTTATCGTAATCGAAAGATTAACTATGCATTTGTATAAAATGCTTTAAGGAATTTTTTCTGTACTGATATCTCTACGCAAAATCTTATATAAAGTACTTAAGTTATGATTTATTAAACATCAGTGTCCCTTAATATTTTAAAGAGAAACATTAGATATCAATATTTGTTAAAGTATTTTACAGAAAAAAAAACAGAATGTTATTGATTACTTCTAGTATATTTAATTATTTGATAATAGAACTGAGATCAGAGGAGTCTAGTTTACATAAAACAAGTAATACGCAGCTATACATTTTAATCTATAGCTAAAAATACAACTATGTTGGTTACTTCCAAATATGTTCTACATGTATCTTCTAATATACAAAGTATGTGCCGACCATTCATTAAAAAGTACTCCTCAAAGTCGGACAAAATTAAAAGATTGATGAAAGAATATAAATTGATATTTGGTCCGTTAGTTGAAACAAAATCCCAAAAGAAAAGGAGATTGAAATTAGAGAAGAAAGGGAAGATACCCCGTGAAAAGACAAATATGATACATACAGAATTCTTGTGGGTTATGGAAAATGCTCGTGATAAGCTCACAAAGATTACAAAGCCTCAAAACGAGCAGTCAAATGATACAGATCAGAGTTCTATAAAAAAATTTAGCGAGATGGAATTTGATGGTTCAACTGATCAAAATACAAACAATCTTTTACATTCTGAATCTAGTCAGACTGCTCAGAAAATAGACCTTAGATCTAACACCACATCTATTTTGTCAGCGAAGAATAGTAATAACGAAGTTGCATCGTCCAATTCAAATGTATCTGATAATGAAAATACAGTCACAAAATGTGTGTCTTCTAATTTTGAAAGATTGCCTGACATTATTATAAAACATTTGCCAACTTTTCCAATTATGGGCAGCAAACAAGAACTTCCGACGCAGTCAACAGAAATATTATCTATATCTGTTAGAGATGATCTTGAAACAATAAGATTTCCCAGTGTAACTAAGATTCTTACACAAACCATGTCACCAGAGTCGAAGCTGGCTCTAGAGGCATGGAAGGAAAGAATGATAAAAAAGCTCGGGCAAGAAGGATTTGAAATGCATCAGAAAGGTATTTGAGAGTTATTTGATAAACTGTTCCACGAGAAAGAGAAACTTTAATAAGCTTAATAAATAAATCTATTTGCTCCTGATACAGCATTGTTAGAGGATGGATCATCTTTGCATTCGTGCATAGCACAGGACCTGCTCGGGAAAGAGTATGAGGTTCCTTCGAAGATCGAGCCAGTTTTTAAAAGTGTCCAGGGTGTTTTGAAGGACGTGCACCACGTGAGAGCGATCGAGACACACGTAGCTCACCCGAAATTGCGTTACAAAGGAGTAGTCGACTGTATAGCCTCTTATAGGTAAAACAGAGATTTTGCTTCACCATCACCAGGAAACTCTATTTCGAAACGAAACAGGCAAAACCAGAGGTCACCGCCTGGTTTCTAGTCAATTTTATATTTTATAACTTGTATTGTGTAAAATAGCTGTAAGCTCTAAATATAGTTGGCCAATAAACTGATTATAACTAACTACCTTAATATTGTATAGTAAGTACAATAAATGGAGCTTGATAATTTTAGGCTAATGATAATTTCAGTCTCTAAATTTATACATTTTTACTAAATAAAGAAATTATACTTAATAATTTAAAATAATTTTGTAATTAAAATTATTCAACATTCAAATTATTAATTTAAATTATATTTTAAAATTGTACGTTATATAATTTTACAGAAAATTGAAATTATTATCTCTCTTCTTTAAAGCCTGATATAAATTATAGAGATATAAATTTTAGAGATGCTTTTCCAAATGTTATATTTATTAAAAGAAAAATGTTGAAAAAGGGTTATATATCTTATTCACAATAAATCTTTTTCATAAAGATATGTTTCCCAATACTTTTCGCTTTGGTACATTTTCAACTTGTTTTTTTTTTTGTTTTTCAATAAAGAGAGATATTTTTGAGGATTTATGATTTATGTAAAATCTTCGATTGAAATAATAAGCTATTAATAATATTATTAGATTTTTTCAGATATGGTCTGTGTTTATTAAATTATTTATTGTTTTTATACCCACGAATATTCAGGTTTCATTAATTGATCTGATTTTCTCTGTTGATCCATACTCGAAATAGAGTTTCCTGAAATTTTTATATATTTTTTGCTACAGAATAATTTTAAATAAAGTTTAAAATCGTCCTGTATATTCAGGATAGTCTTACACGTACGCACTATACCCGCAGGGGCGAAAATTACGTAATCGATTGGAAGAAATCAGACAGAAAGAAATTGGACTTGAAGGGAACATATGACGCGCCTGTACAACTCGCCGCGTACATCGGAGCTATCAATGTTTCCAATTTATATCCCTTTGTGGTAAATAACTCATCGTAATAAAAATCTCATTTAAAAGAGATACGCAAAGAAGTTTGTATTTCATTATGGAAATTAATTCGTTTTCGATTACTGTCATTTTATTTGCTACAATTTGTTCGTCAAATACCGCGTGTAATAAAGAAAGCTACTGTAATAAAGCAACTTTCTAAAAGTTGTTAATATTTTCTAAAAATAAAATTGGCAAGAGGGAGCAGCCACTTTCCTAAAACGTCCGTGTTTCTCGATTCTACAGATAAAACGGGGATTACTCGTGATTGCTTACACGTGCGGCGCACCAGCAACCGTGTACGAAGTGTCCGACAACACGCTGCAGCAATACTGGACAGCATGGCTGCGCCGCCTGCAGAAATACTATGTCGAAACGACGAACAGCGACGAAAACATTTATACCCCAATAAAGCATTAATGTACCGCGTCGCATATATTCATTAAAAGTTCCGCACGCAAAGCCAATTAAATGCTTATCCGTCAACCACAGGTAACTCCCGGCAGGAGTCGGCGGGAGAAGTTTTTAATTCCATCCTTTGCGCGTCAGAAGTTGCAATAATCTATAGTCTTCGGGGAGTAGTTGGGAAAAGCCCTCCCAGAGTCCGTAGGAAACCAGAGGATACAGCGAGAGAGAGAGAGAAAGGGAAACCGCGTCGATACGCCGACTTATTAAGCCCTGCGGTGGACTCGGCATTTATGATTTATGACAAACCTATTCGCATTTTCCGCGAGCACCGCTCGGAGTAACGGTTATTAAGAAAATACGCAAACTTATTATCGCGACACTGTAATTTTGTACGATACATTTACGCTGTTATTAAAAGTATCACAATTTATGTGAGCTGTATTTTTCTAAAGTTCGTAAAACCTCAGAACTGGCGAAGATTAATGTTCCCTGATCGAGTTTGGAAAGTTCAACGATTAAAGCTTTTTCCGAAGAAGATACGTTTTTATACAAGTTCACAGATTCGAAGTAAACATATTAATTTTTATGCTTACATTATATCGTTATATCGCTCTTATCAAGATAAAAAAGTGTTCCATTTTAGATTTTAATTTTAGATGCAATTTGATAATCAATACTGAGTTCGTTGAAAACTTGTTTCGCTTTTAAAAATAAACCTTTGATTTCACAGTCCCATATCGCAGGTGAAGAATACTGTAATACTAAAAACGTAATGGTCGTGCCGGAAAAACCCGGTCATCCCGGTCGTCGAGTTAACATACTACAATTATAACTTTCGCCGGCAGGACAGAGAAAGCCTGAAGGGGGTGCTACGTTACGCGGCTCCCCGTTACAGGACCTTATAAACATTGCGACCCCTCGTGCGCCCTTGGGGATCGTAAACTAATGGTGAAGCGGTGTAGCAGAATTATATCGTTCGTTGTTTCCGCATACCTGGCTCGCACACAGAAACCGGGAGTATCGCGTTAGGATATCAGATATTACGAACCGCATCCTTTACGTCCAAACGGTCTGGGCCATACATGGCAGTATCAAGTCGTAATAACACTGTCAGATATATTACCGTCATCATACAGCGCAATGTGTTAGATTTTCACATTTTTGTTTTATTTTTTTTCATCACATTTCTTGTTGGCGAAAATACGTGCCGCGAAATGTTCGCTACTTTTTACTATATTTATTTTTGGATACTAAATTTTGAATATTGATTCATGTTAGGATGTTTCGAGTAAATAAGAAAACAGCATTAAAAAAAAAAAAAAAGATAATGGAGCGTCATATTCTTTGCTTTTTGGTATATATTGTTAGTACATGGAGTATATAGGAGAAACATCACGTGATGTTTAATATTAAAATCCAATTTTCTTTTCATATTATATTTATTATGTTATACAATGAACCGAAAGATGAAAAAGGCTATTTAAGAGATAATTACGGTGACAAAGGAAATCGTGAAAATTCTAAATAAATCCTTAAAATATTGTGTTAAAAAATCTAGTTACGCTACTGGAATGTCAACTCGTTATTTCACTCGAGATTTCTTTTTCTTTTAGATATGTTTATTTCCGGTTATCCTATATTCCGCTAACAATACTTTCATACGCTCTCCTATGATATTCAGCTTTACAAGCCTCTGCAAGTGGGATGCGATTTCACATCAAAGAATTCTTTCATTAAAGTGCAAAGCAACTACGCAGTTACTGATCTTTTCGTTTTTCGAGAAGCAAATATCGTTTGCGAAACAAATGTTGCAACATCTTGAAGCACCAGAAAAATAATAGCAGCAGTTTATCGTAGGCTGTTTTCATAATAACTAATTAAAAATTCCTTGAGAACGTTAATTCACTGATACATATTCCACTCGATTCAGTACACATTTGTGTAATAATAAAATATTAAAGATTAAATAATAAAATATTAAAGATCATTTTGAGTGGGCTTTAAACATTAGTAAGAAAAGTTCAGCGATGACACAAACGCAAGCAATCGTGAGGTAATTGCAGAGTCATACCGCGGTAAAACAACGTTGACTCGGTGCAAGCACCGTTATGACACATTTCTTTCATTTCCTCGCCGTGGATTGCGGATCAAAAGAGGGAGAACCTACTATACCGCAATCCGTTTTACGTAATACAATGCTAACGTTGCAAAGTGATATTTACTGCGAGGCCGCGGATTTATCCGCTGAGAATTCCGTTGTTCGCGCGCACGACATCCTGCCGGCATCCTGAGCAAAGACAACCATATTTCCGGATTAGACATTTAGCGAGCCCCCAGCCCCCAGATGAATCTAAATCTCCCGGCTAATCCCCGCTAATCCTCTCGTAACAGCGGCATATTTCCATCGGCCGGCCGCCGGTCCACCCCCTTTGAGCGCGACGAGTTATGAAAACGATAACTTCAACTCGCCGGACGAACCCTCGCTTCCTTCGGCCTCTGTCCCTCTTGGTCCCTCTTCACCGCCCCTCGGACGCGCGAGAAAACTCGAGAAAATGTGCCGCTGGAACTATTGAGCTCGCAATTTATCGGAGACCCCTGAGCAGTATGCCCTCCGAACGATTTCTTATATTGCTCGCCTTTAATGCAGCTACGAATAGCAGCGGATTTTTATTAAGTCCACTCTGCGATTCGATAAACCCCAGCAATTTCTCATTCTACCACAAATATTATACGAAAGCTCTCTTAATGCTTAATTATATTTTTTATTATCTCAAAACACGTTTCAAAAACCACAGAACAATTGCAAATACTAGATCTAAAATGTGATATTTTAATAAAGAAATGTTTAACATGAGGACTAAGACATGTAACAATTTATTAATACGGTTAATGATCATTTTAAAATTGTATTAAAAAGGATAAAACAATATTTTTATGTATAATATTTAAAAAAATATATAGTATTTTAAATATAAAGTATTATAAGCATATGCAGCCTATTCTTGAGACTATTGCTCCTTATTTTTTTACAGCTTTATATTTTTTACTGGAATTGTAAAATTTGTCCAACCACGCCAGACGGCGCTATCGGGAGTTCGGGAGCAATCGCGAAATTGTTCTCCGCGATAGAATCGTATTTCTCTTATTAATAGTCGGTCGCTCGAAGTACGCCGCACAAAACTTTTCGTCTCGACGCGTAACAGTCCCCGGGAGCGTGAGCGCGTCTGCAAGGGATCGCAATAGCTCGGTTAAAGTCATCAACGGGCAAACTGGAGCACGTCCGAAATTACGAAGTTTTCATCGTCCTGCCAACGTCGAGAAATCTCTCGACGTCAATATCCTTCAGAGAAGTTCTACCTGGCGGCGGCGTTGTCCGCGTCGCTCTTCCGTCTAACCGTGGCGAGTGCTTCCAATGGCGAAAAGTTTATAAATACGAGGGGGTTCGACGCTCCGAGAGAAAATCGACGAGCACGAAGGCACGATGATAAAGGCGGAAGAGCCGTCGTCCGTCCGAGGAGTCTCGCTTGCCCGAATTAATCCTCTTCGGGTGCGCGACGCGACGCGCGGCTCGTCGTGCATGAATTATCGATCGTTGCCGCGCGCAACGGTCACGCTACATTTGCCTTCCAATAATAATTAATAATCAAGCGAAGCGGAGCGCGCCAGGGCCAATCTACAAAGGACCGGATTACACGCGAGACGGAAAACGGCCGCACGCTGGTTAGCCGGTCTGAGCATTATAGGATGCACCCTGCGCGACTTTACGCCGCGCCGTAATAACTTTGAGATCTGACTCCTGCATACTGCGCAAGAGAAATCAATAAGTAATTGTTTACAATAAGTGAAATCTGTATTTTTTTTCTTTTAGAAAAAGCTTGTGAAGTAATGTAACGTATACCTATGTGTAGACGTTGCATTACTAAAATATATATACTAGATTCAGTTTTTTATACTAGATTTTAGACTAGTACTTTGTCTAATTTTTTAGTAGTTTAAATCTAGTTTTTAGTAGATTAGATACTAGATTTTAGACTAATATTTTGTACTATATCTGGTTTTTGATACTAGCGCGTGTGATACACATGTATATATGTATAATACATGCACACGCATTTTTTGGAGATAAATATGATATTTATCTGCTCCTTCATTATTGACCAATTATAAAACTAAATTGTTTACCGGTGTCAGTCTATTTGATCTTTTAACTTTAAAAGGTATATTTATTTCACGCGGGTAAAAAGCGCCCTTCGTGGTAAAATCAAGTAAAATAAAGTGTCTTTACGCTGTTATACGTACTAACAAGGGCAACTCTGTCGCTTCTATAAAATGATCGTCGTTTCGTAAACACTGCGCCGGCCGGCTTATGTGCACTTATACTGCACATTTCGCAACGTGGTTTCTCCTGGGGGACCTGCTCAGGTGCACACCTGTGGCCAATTAGCGAGCGCACATTAAAAGCTATTCAAACTGCGTTCTGAAGCGAACGTCGTGTAATTGTGTCCCGCTATTGTTGGCCTTTCCTGACCGCGTGTGCGTATTACAATAATACGGCAACTTGCCGAAATCAATAAGATTCGTTCACTAGGTTTCGCTCGCGTGGCGCGTGCTCTTAATGAAATTAGTTTCATTTAAAACAGCTGCGATAATTTTCGAGGCCTTGAAGTTCTTTATATGTATACTCAAATATAATATCATTTTTCAAAGAATATCCTTTAATCTATGTAATCAAATAATTAATTTTCCTTTTAAATTAATTAGCGATTTCTGAAGAATCGCTTACAAAGGTAAAGAAACATGGATCTTGCCTGTTTTTGAAGAATTAATTTTCCGTGAGAAAAATCCGTCGAAAACTCTGTCGTTAAAAAACAGCGGGCCGATTAGCGAAATATTCTCTGCAGTACCTATAACAAAAAAAAAGAGAATATTATTTTTTAGGTTTTTTTTAGAAACTAAATGCTGACTTTAGTACAATTCTGAAAAGCGCCGATTAAATACCGGAGCAAGCGGGGGATCAGGGAGCAAGTAGTTTTCCTCTATGTTGTCAAATTCGCATACCGTAGTGCTTTCGCAACCGGCTGGGTCGTATTGCAGAACTCTCGCTTATACCCGGTGTGTTCGTCGTTGCGCAATACGTCATCGAGCCGCTCGCGAGCAATTTCACGGGGTGCTATATCTCACCGGGGGGAAAACTCCCCGGCTGTATATTGCGAAATCGGCGAGAGATCTGCCGCAAGCCTGAAAATATAACTCCGCGGCTATATAGCGAGAGGACCGTACTCTCAGTTTCCCGATGCTCCTATTTCTCGGGTTCGCGCGCGCCAGATTTCAGTCGAAAACAACGCGAGGAATCAAATTGTCTCTTCCTCGTATACGGCATGCTTTAGATGCACCAAAATAAATTTCCTGCCAGCGATCGGGTAATTATTTGCCGTAACTTTTCAACGTTAAGTTTCTCGGCAACTAAAACTTAGATTAAATTTCTGTTGAAATTGTATTGAAACATTCAGTTGAAATTAATTTAATCTTCGTCGTTGAGTTGACCGATTTGAACTTCTAAGACATTAATCTTCTTCTAATTTAAACTTCTAGTCTTTAATCTATTTAAATATTCTCAATAATTAAAATAATTCAAGAGCTTCTATATCTTTACTATATAATTATTTATAAACTACTTATAAATTATTTATTTATAATTATTTATTGGGATTTTATTTGTAGAACCCAATAACCGCTGTATAACAGCAACCGCTATTATTAATTGCTCTTGAATATCTGCAGTGTTATAAAGAGCTCATGATAAATCTAAGCCATTTTCTTTGTGTCTTTAACTCAATAAATTCAAGTGTTCCGCGGGATGCTGCGAGTTTACGAGACGTTTGAAAAATTTTCAATTTTCTTCGTCTCAACTTTTATGTTATGTTGGCAAGCGCACAAAACATAAAACGCAAGTAAAATGCAAGTTATGCATCCGTATTACATGCGCATAGAACGTCGCCGAATATTCTTCGAGTTTAAAAAAAATGGCATAATTGTGCGAGGAGAGGAAGGCTCAATTTCCTGAAAGATAAACCAAGGGAAGCCGTGGAAGTCATGGCTACGGATTTTCAAGCGCGGCGTTCTGTTGGATAAATTTCCGCATTTTTCAAGCTTCTCTCCGAGTTGTCATTGAAAAGAACCGGGTCTGGGGAGGTTTCTTTGTCGACAAGTTATGGCCGATGGGTGGCACTTAGTCTTCTCGCAAAGAAAAATTCCGGGGAAACTCGGCGTCGCGCAGCACGGCAGCACCGACACCGCGAGTGCAATGCCGGAAGTGCATTACTTAATTAAACTTTAGCCGCGAAGTTATGCTGGCCGTAAAAAAGATCCCGCGGTATTTTCCGGGTATAGAAATCATCCGGGTTACTCGAAGGAAGATTAAGAGCAACGACTCTGAGTTCGGCGGGGTTTTTCTTCTCTCTCTCTCTCTCTTTTTTTTCAAGCACGTAGTTAAGCAAACCGGGTCAACGAGATTTTGTACTCGTTGGAGTTATTTGCGCGAGTTAACGACAATTCTCGGCGAGTTCTGATTATTGATTAGCATCCTCAAGAAGTCAAAGGATATATATCGTAGAATAAAGTTACATTGCACTAGTAATTTCACACAAAGAAAGTTACGGCAAACATTCGGCGTTCAAAAACTCATTGTTTTTATTACAATAATGCTGGAATTAAATTATTTCTGTCCTTATGGCACGCCGTTTTGCTATTTAATACTATATCATAAAAATTCTACAAATTAAATTGATACTCAAAGAAAAGAAATTATTTTATGTCTCGACATATTTATAATTCATCGAATTATTATTAAATTAACATAATTTGACATAAAATTTTTTCGGGAATTAAAATTATGTACATAATTAACCACACACATATGTCCTTTTATAAAAGTCTCCAAATGATTAATCGTTTTCTAAATTAATTGTCCTTGACGAAGACGAAAGTTTAAGATTTATGTTGGTTCGATTAGAACTGTTTCAATTAAGTTTTTGTAGAAAGCAGTCGAAAATGCCGAAAACTAAAGTTCAACAGGCAACAAAAAGCCGTCCAAGTCGATCTAACAAAAGATACGGCATTAATATTCTATTGATAGATAGGTACTTGGCGATCCTTCAAGGATTGTCTAGCCAGTGTGACAAAAAGAACATTCTCTCTCAATCTCTATTCTTCGATCTTAAATGTCATTTACTTAGTAAAAAAAAATCCAATCTTTCTTTCACGGCAGAAAAAGGAGGTCAGCTGCAAATGCAAGACGAAATGCAGTTTATAGCGACGCGGTCAGAATTGATGTTCCTCGCTCGAGTTCCATGCTGTGTCGATTGGCATGCCTGAGGAACCGAACCGAATTCCACAAGCGGCTTGGGGAGACGTAGTAGTTCGAGTGCGTCCGCAATTCCGCGGAAGAGGAGACGCGCGCGACGAAAGAGAAAGAAGCGAGGAAAACGCTCGATTTCACAGCCATTGGCTCGAGAAAATGCGACTATACGGGGTAGTCATGTGCGCCGGAACGTGCATACGCGCGGAAGCGCGGTCGGCGACGGTGGCAGAAGTACCCCGTTACGTGTGCAAGGACATGCTGAATGCGGACACGTACGTGGGGTAAAGTTGCTAGGTGAAATGACGACGCGCTTGGTTTTCGCACGTGCACGCCAACGTGTGCGTGTGCCATGCAAGCGCATCGCACAAGAATATACGAACGTTCGTATATTCTTCTTCCATCCCGTGGATATATAGCTGCGCGTCTTGCGGCGGGAAGAAAAAAGAAATTACTATTTTTGTGTGTGACCTATCCAATTCTAGGGCTAAATTTTAAATTTGAAAAATATAGTTCTTTTTCAAAGAACGTTTGATTGTATCGGTTTTTCCATATTTTACGACTTTCAATTTAATGACATCTCGTTTTAAAATAAATTTCGTTCTTTATCTCGATTGGAAATTTCATCACGAAAAAAAGGAAGAGAGTTGATTTTAAAATAAAGGCTGCGCTATCGAAGTATAATAGCGCGTATTATTTTGCGGAACGTTGCACGTCACTCGTTTTCATCCTACTGCTTTCGGGAATTTCCTAAATCTGCCGACCGTCAGAAAACGAACGTGGAAGAACGCGAAACGATTTTCGCCGTCCAACTTTCGGTCGAGTCCGGATCTTAAGCGTTCCTAGACTATAGCAGCCTATAGCATCCCCAAGGAGCTCGAAGGTGAAACTTGGAGCGGTTTGCGGCATTGGAGGGGTGGCAAAACCGCACGAAAAGGACAAGAAGACGAAGGGCGGGAGTATCGCACGCACAACGTGGCAGGAGCCTCCTCGGTTAAATGAGGCTAACTCTCCCTCCCTCTCTCGCCCTCTATTTCTCTCTCGTCCTTCGCCTCCTGCCGCCCCTTTTATCCCGTCATTCTCTCCCTCGCAACCTCCTTTCCTACCCTCTCGCTCGAAGTCGAACTCTCGCCGTGTCGAGCTCACTGGGCGCGGCCCCGCACCGACCGAAATCGATTTTGGGAAGACGAAGAGAGCAAGGGAACGATGGTTGTGTAAAGGAGAAAGATGTGATACAGATTACGGACCAGCCGAGCTTCCCTCTGATCTCCTCTGTATATGTATCGGGAGAGTTTCCTCTTTCTTTACTGTATAGGAGGTCGCGGCTGGTAAGCAGCTCTTCTCCCTAGCCAACTCCCCGGTCCACAGGAGGACCGCGCCAAGCCGCCAAAGCGCATTCTCGATGTGTCACGCACAACGATTTCCTAGCTCGACTTGTCCAAAACTGGGATCATAGGAATATCATAGTTCCATTTCATAGTTCTTTTTTTTTGACAGAGCGCGCATCAGTGGGGCGAGAGAGGGGGGGGACGTAGAGGGAAAGAGATAGAAATAGACCCGTGGGTATATAAGGCGTCGCAGGAGTCATTTTCGCTTTGCGGACGTTGTCACCCGCAGCGATGACTACTCGTCGCGGTGTGGCACCGCCCGTCACAAAACTAACTCCGCTGGCCTCTCGGTACGGCGTGCGGAGGAAGCACTAAGAATAAGTGAAAAAATGTGTGTCTCCGTGCGCCGTGCACAGTGGTCTCCTGACTCGCGTTAGGATCGCTTGAAATGGAAATGATAGAAATACTCACTTAATTTATAGCTCCTTTAACAAATGCGCGTGAGATATCGGCGTAGGAGAGGAACGGAGATGGAGGAACCCATAGTAGAGAAAAGAGTAATAAAGAAAAGAAAAATGAAACCAATTGTGGAAGGTCGATATCGGCAAAAAAGGACAGAGTGGGCGAAAGTATAAAAAGAACAGGTAACAAAGACACATGAATAGATAAAAAAGCATCCACGTGTTCTAGAAATTACAAATTGAGATGAAGACTGTCGACAGTTTGAACTGTTTGAATGAGTAGAAGATGAAGGATATATATAAAGCGTTATATTGGAATAATTTTTGCTTCATGATCATAGTGTAGAGGAAGTTACTCACAACCAGTGGAAGAATGCGCGTGTAACAAGCCAGAGACACCGGTGGTAGAAATTTCGCGAATAAAAGTCGCGTGTAAAACTGGGTAAATTGAGTTTGTGGAGATACACAAAAACCGAGATTTTGTTAAAGCGCAGCTCTCACCATGCATAACTGTGAATTTTCATCTTGTAAAGTTACAGATTGCATTCATCTTGTACATGCACTTTTATTTTAATAATATAAGCTTGTCGAATTTATAACCGATGGCGATCAATTTTTAAATAAGTTATTTTTGTATTATATAAAAAATTTAGTTATTAAATCTGATATTAATATCTCAAAAACTTATAAAGACATCAAAAGTGCAAATTTTATGCTATATCTTGCATTCTATTGATTCGGGTTAATTCATCGTTAGA